TTGTACATATTCATAAAAAGTATTTACGGGGGAGTTTGTCCTCAAAGCAAGCGACCTTGATGACGAAAGGAATTCGTAGTGAAGAAAATTTTATGTTAGGTAACCCCCTTTAGACAGTAATTATGACCAAGGATAACGTTTTCACAACCTTCTTCCGTTACACTTTCCGTATGTTTACATGATATGGCGAGAAAGGTATCACTTGAAAAAGTACAATAAAAGAATTGTTAAAGATTATAAATAACGTAATTTAGAAATGGAAGCACATATGGTTTGGGTACCATGTTTCTACAGTTTTATTGTAAGTGTAAGAACCTTATAAACTCTTCATAAAGTACTATTGAAAAATAATTTCTACATAACCGTCGTCTTGAAACTGTTGCTTGCTCGATCAACTAATGAGTAAAAGGGAATAATGACACCCCGCTTCATCTAACAGAGCCTCGAGTATAATGCAACACAGCTTAAATTTACCACTACCGTAACATTGGAGATCAGCACAAATAAAAACGAAGACCATTACTTCTTCAAAATTTCTCTTTCTTAACTTAGAGTTCAAATGAATGAACAGAAATTATGAGATAGAAGCTGTCGACCGGCGCGGTCATTCTAATCGGAGACATTCTAGATAAGGTTATTGGTTTTGGGTCACAAGTATAATTTTTTTGTAATTTTGTTCGTTATAAATATTTATAAATTCACTTCGTTTTATGGGTAGACCAGATATACCAAAGCAGTTCCCGCAAAAACTAATGGCATTGACTCAACATTATTGTTATAATACTTACACCATCATCAGAGAACCCAGGTGCGCATCTCAAATCTCGTTTGTTTTACATTTGTTTCTACATTTTGGCATTATAAATGAGACTTTACAGGAATAAAGTTATCTTTGTCAGAACAACTCGTTTGTTTTCTGCGATCGTCAAATATTGTATTATTCTTTCCTTTTCCAAATTCTTTTAAAAGTGTGTTTAATATTACTTTTTTCACCACTTCTTTTAATTTTAAACCCTTTTCAGATTACTAGAAAGCGCACACTGAGTCACACTGAAAATATGTCAAATATGGCGACTTTATCCTGGATTTCTGTGCTTTGTTGCCCAATTTTTCAATTTTCGAGTTGCGCGATAAAAATTAGTCAAAATGACCCGCTCGTATACCCAGAAGGACAGTGGGATTAGCACTCAGGTCAGAAAGCACCGAGGCGGGAGAAAATTGTTATTACAATGTACTACACTTTTCTTCGTGGTGCGTACGTAGAAAAACACCTTTTAGCATTGCGGTGACGATATAATCGAGTACTTGCCAAAAGCAATCGGTGGCTGATGGTGTGCACCATTACTTCCGGCAGACGTTCTGAAACCGAGAAAGAGATCATTTCTTCTAACTGCGGGACATTTAGTAGGAGTGAAATCAGTTTTTGGTACATCTTGACTAATCTACAGTGGAAATATGAAACAAGAAATTGGTATCGAAACTGTTTTACTAGCTGTGACTTGCTTGCTGCTTTCATTAGGAAAGTGTAAATCCACAGGTAAGTGTATATGCAAGAAACTAAAACTGTACTTTTGTCAAAATTGCATTCAGCCAACCAGGGGAAGTAAAGTGGATGGGAAAAAAATCTTATGCGAGTATCAAACATTCGTGTGTCATAAGTCTTTATTGGCTGGTGGCTTGTGTACAGCTTGGAGATACTTTTCGGTCTCATCTGATTGCTATATCCCCGACTTGAGCTTTCAATGGAAACGGTCAGTACTGTAAGTGTTCTGAGTTTTGTTTTAACTTGGGTTTAACTGTCGATTATTTTTTTCTTAACAATAAACCAGTTCAAATCATTGAGATTAACCTCTCACAGAATCTAAAGTCTTTAAAACCTTTACAATGAATATTGGGTTGGGGGAACAATTTGCAGGTGAGATTTTTGTGGATGAAATGTAACTTCCCCCTCAAGGTCTCATAATAATTACGTGAGAACCTAAACATGCGTCTTTAAATCCGGTGATTTTATTGCCAAAAAAACCCACACATATTCCTATGCCTAAATCACTTCACTTTAATCCTAGTTTTGATATGAATATTGTCCTGGCCATGAAACCAAATAACCTTGTACGTGCTTTTGCGATTCATGACAAATTCCAGAACCATTCATTTCGAACAATGATATGATCGTATCTTGAAAAACTTCAACCTCAGGTGCGAGGCCTCTAGTCCAGATATAAAGGAAAGTGGAAAAAAAATTTCTATTCTTTATTTGCTGCAGCCGCATAGAAGGAAAACGCCTTCACACAATAAACCAAGGAAAAATAGTCTCTCTTGAAATTTATTTTTGACTGGAAAAAAGGATATATTTTATTGAAAAATATAAAAGTGAAAACTTTTCAAATTAAGTGGTAACCGTAAATGGTACGTTGGGAACCTCTAATGGTTTCTACGGGGCATTTATAGCTAAAAGTAAATATACTTTCCCCATTAAAAACTTATTTTGTGAAATTGCAACATCAAATAATGAAATTAAATTTGCGAGACTAACGGGAGCAGAATACCGAATAACTCGCACAGCCCTCAGAGCCTACAAATATAAGGAGATCTGTTCTTGTAAGATAAACTTCCCCTCAAGGATAAGCTTGACTTCTCTGTGGAGATACTTCATGACTACTGTCCTTTTTTGCGTATCAGTTCTTATCAACCGGAGAGCGGAGACTGCCCAAAACCTATTCTTGTTTTGAGAGAGGACTATCTTTTGCTTGAGGTTTGTAAATTGGGCAAGGTTGTGGGCGTCATGAATTTGGGTTGCGGCGAGTCTCGTAGTTAATTGAACCCTTTGTCAGGCATAAATTCACACTTGAATCAGTCTGAACCTGTAAATATAAATATTGATTTACGTAGACATATGCTGTTGGATTTTTTATGATTAAGGTCCACTTTTTTCCATCCAAATGTACACCACGGGTTGACAAAGTTGGCAATGTGGTTCATATACATTGCAACTCTCTGCTACTAAACCAACTCGACATTTGCACCTACATAATCTTCCAAGTCAAATTTGAAGAATCAGGCTTTTGGCGTAAAATAATTTGTCTGTTTTGAGTGTAGGTCAATGTCTAAAATGTGAAAAACACAACTGATTTGTTTCATTGCAAAACATAAGGTCTGTTGAAAGCTTGTCCATGTATTATCCTTGCCACCATAAATTGGCACTGACGGCTTTAAGATAATTTCGAATTCACTTTTTAATGATTGTTTAAATACTGTTTACCACTGAGCTGTAAAATTACCGTGCATAGTTTTCCTGTTTTGGAAATTTCCCAATTTTTGAAGAAAAAATACTTTTAAGTGAAAACAAGTGTTACGTTTTAATTCTTACGTCCTGCAATGAAATATTATAGCGTGTTGACTTCAGTAGAGTATCCAGCTCTTGGTTTCAGGGGCACATTGAAAACGCACATGCACTTTCGGGCTCAGTCAACATAATAATGGGGAAAGAAAAGATATTTGATAATGAAGTGAAGCGACGCGTGTGCGTCGGTTCGGGGTACGTGAGCCCTTAGCCCACGTTGGGTGAGGTGTTATCCTCCAGTAAGAGAGACCAGTCAATCAAAGTTGATGATTGATGTTGGGTTTATTGATTTCCAGCCGTAACAAAATCCCAGCTATAACAAGATCCGGTTGTGACAAAATCCCAGCAGAAACAAATCCCAGCAGAAACAAATCCCAGTATAAACAAATCCTGAGTAAAAATAACATGTATCGCACAGTAATTATCTGTGATTAATATAATCATATTTGATTCAAATTATAAATTACAAAGAAATTCACAAAGTCCAAGGATGTGGACACGCATTAAACTCACCCAGCACCTCGCCAACAATCGCTGGATTAATCACATATACTTGACGTGCTGCATGCGTTCAAGGCTGTTCTGCAATATGACATTGAATTTTAGCATAAATAAAAATAGCAATAATGACAGCACCAAAGGAGTGACTGTCTGCAAAGTAGAATGTAAACCCACAACGATCCAAACGTGTAACGTTATTTGTGCAGCTTCGTCGCCCATTGACAGCTTGGAAAGATTGCAGTTTGTGCGCGCACACGCGCACAAACTGCAAGTCCTTGGTCAGGGGTCACAGCGGAAAAGTACAATATACACTACATGTACACAAGTTCATGCACCCATGGCGCGCACACGCGCCGGTCCACTCATGCCGTACTACATGCACGTACACGTACATGTACATTGAAACGACACAGGAAACACGTGAGAAAATGAGGTTACGTGACTGAAGTCACTGACAAGAAGCAAAATGTCCCCAATTTACACATAAAATAAACACATGGCGTTCATAAAGGTCACCAAGATACCCAGTGTCCCCCTACAAATAGCGGATATTTATCAGTTGGCCAAATTGACTACCAGAACGAAACTGTTTGCTTAAGCCACGAACTCAAAAGTGTTTCCCGCGTCCACGGTACGGCATGATCAGGTCAAGACAGCAGTGAAGTGGGCGGAGTCCCAAGACTACTACAATAAATAAATGTACCGATTAATTTCTTTCCTAATTACCTATCAAGTGATATCAGTTGAAAAATAGTAATGATACAAAAGTCCGTGGGGGGGGGGGTCAAGGCAAGTTGCCCCCTGCCCTCCCCGCTGGATACGCCACTGGTTGAAGTTTACCTGCTGAACGATCTTATGCATAACTTTTTCATGCCTTTGCTGCAGGTATTTACCGTGGCTGCTACTTCGACGGTGATGGGTATCGTTCTGCCCGGATCATGACGGATCTCATCAAGTGTGATGGCATGGCGGGCGTATGCCAGGACTCTTGTGGACCTGGAGAGAGATATTGCGAAAGCAACAGCAATATGACCATCGATTTTTGTCAGTCACTTTGTAGAGCTAAAAACTTCCAGTACTACGGCCTGGAAGGTGGCAACCAGTGCTTCTGTGGTGGCGCCTTTGCAAATCCTTTTCTTTATGGATCGCAACTGGATGGCAATCTGATAAATTGCACTGATCCTTGCACAGGCGATGGTAGCCAAACCTGCGGAGGGGAATTTAGAATCGGGATTTATGAATTTCAAGGTAAGTTGATTTACGATTAGTATGTTTTGAATTCGATCTTTGGAACGTACAATATAACATACCCTTACCATTCACACGCGTGAGCTTTTTTCTATTCTCAAAGAATGGAGATTTTGGAATCCAACCTCATAAATGTTCTTAGCCTTCAGGCTTTCTTTGAAAATCATACCCGACGGTATAATTCTTTTGGTTTGCAATTTAAACTTTTTGTAGTAAAATATGTTCACACCGTTCCTGGATTGACGATTTGTTCTTCATTTATATTAAATACGTAAGACAGTTTAGGCACTGTTAATAATCGAAAGCCTGTCACGTGGCCCTTTTCAATACTTGATAAAGCGCTTGCTGGCCGTGCACCGCCTTGCAGTACACGTCACGCGCATGTCGTATACATATAAGGTCATCGTAGGAAATTCGATTTTTTCGACGAACTGGTTCAAAAGACACCAAAAAATGGGAATAATTATGTGCTTGGTAAGTTTTAAGCATTCGCATATGAATGGCTGAGGAGAATGGACGTGACTCATTCCCGAGCCGCATCAAATGAAAATAAATTCAGAAGTGAAAACAAATTCTTATTTGAATTTTTATACATTCAGACTGTACTCTATCTATCGACAGATCCCGTTGAGACCCCTGGCTGTTTCTTCCCGGGTGCAGTCCCTAATGCTAGAGTGATGGATGTAGGTGTTGGTGTCAACGAAACACTCATCTTCACCTGCCAGCCTGGATTTGAGTTGTTGGGAGAGTCTACTTTGATGTGTGTTGGCAATCGCACGTGGTCGTCAGATGTTTTACCTATCTGTAACTACACAGGCGTGTATCCAGGTTCGAACTTTGATTTTTTTCAGTGGAGGAGGAAAAAAAGCAACACGTACCGGTATATGTGGAGATCGTATTTCCGTTGGATTTTTACAACAATTGAACACCAAAATCTCAAGGTTACACTGGTCACATCCTACTGTATTTGTCCATTTAGGAATAGCTCCATGATTTTAGCGGGGCGCAGTCCACTTTTGTTATTGGTGGCCCATCTGTCTCCTTTTTTCCCTGACAATAATTATCCGCAGTGTGCCTCTGAGACGATATAAACCTGAAACTTGACACGGATATCCGTCAACCCTGATGCCTAGATGTGCATTGGGTTACAGTGACTGACATCATAACTTGAAAAGGCGCACATTGATGGCACATCATTTATATTTATTGATTTTCTTATAAGATTTGTTTGCCATCGTTCCACACAAGGGGATAAAATTCATTTGAATTTCAAAAATAAAGATCCCATAATCCCGCAAGTTATTTAGGCTACAAATTTCAAGCCTTGATCACTTTCCTATTTGAACTCGAGTTGAAATATTATTCCTTAATTCTTCAGGGTAGTTATCTTGCGCAAATTATGAAACCAACTGGATCCTCTGACGACATGCATAAAAATTCTGTGATTTTATAAAAATCCACACCGCCGGTCATCTCTTGTTTGAAAATAAAACAAATACTTACAGTCTAGTTTGTGCATTATTACGTCACAGCAGGGAAGTTTACAGCTAATTCTCAATTTTTTTGTCAATGATATATAGCAAACACGACTCAAGTGTCCCCAATCCAAACATCAAAAAGTACTGCAGTGAAACCGACAACTGAAAATCTAGCCACTACAGTGCAAGGTAAGTTGTACAGATGTTCGCTTGTGTTTCGTAGTACTTCTTTACCACAAGGCGAGTTGTGTTGGCAATGATGCAAATGTACATATTCTGGAGAAAAAGTCCATAAACCGTTAATTAACCAGTCTAACAGTGGCGTAAATTTGTGCAGGAACTTAAGGGATAGGGATGGGGAAATGTGGGGCGGATGACTTGCCTGGGCGTGAAACCTTAAAAAGTTGGGGGACACTATATGACTGTATATTAAGGTGCATGTTCTTAATATTGATGTACATCTGTAATGTGTATTCAGAATGGCATATTTATGGCTTTTGAAAATTGTTTTCCCTCTTTTGAGTGATACCGAATGCATTTTAATCGTCATTAATACTCCCACCCCCAGTGGGATTTACGCCCATGCAGACTTACATCGATAGTAGTAGAAATAAATTGATAGGAAATTTGTCTCTTTTATACTCGTGAGGTCGTCAACCTTGCAAGTAAACCAAATGTGATCTGAGGATATTAATCAAAGCAGGATGTATTGAGGTATAAATTGTCTTTACAGATACCACCAGTTCAGCATTTGATCATGGAGAAACCACCAAAGCACTGAGTTCTAAATTTACTGAGATGCCCAGACTGACAACCAAGCTCCAGATATCCATGACAGGTGCAGTTTGCGAAGAGAGTAAATCTTTCTTGGAAAAATATAAAATCTAAATGAAATAAATACCTGTATGAATGAACAGCAAGAGAGCCTACGGTTTGCAGTGGAAACTCTTTAGGCAATGAATCACTGGCATCAAGTATTAGCCCAAACCTAGGAAATCCATTCCAGACACGATCTTTTCCCCACCAGATTATCTGCCGTACATAATTGGAGGAGCAGCTGGCCTCCTGTTGCTGTTGGTGATCTGCATGGTCTGTGTAGTCGCATGTAAAATCAGGTGAGACGCGAGGTTTTAAGGGAATAATCATAATAAACCACTCTGCAACCGTTTGAACGTCCGTTTGTAATTCAAGGAGACAACATTTAACATATTTTTCTGAAAGTGCAATCATGATTTGGAGCCATTCTGATGTATTTGACGGAGACCTCCCTTCTTTTCCTTCGATCACTAGTACACCGACAGAATGACAATGCCATCAAAAGTTAGAAATCTTCAGTGAAATTGTTTTCGGTGCACAGATTTAGTGAATTTGACAAATAAGAAAATGCGCAATCGAGAGGAACCTCAGTTTTGTGTGACTGTGCTAAGACTTAAATAAGATCTTTGCATATAGTAAAGAATTTTCGAAAAAGGGGAAGTGGCTATACCCTGATAATCTGAAACGAAAAATAAACCTGAATCTTGGGTCTCATTTCAGGAAGCAATCGGGAACTGTAAATCAGGACATTCGCTTGAAACCGGATGGCCTTGCTCCAGTAACGCTACTGAATACAGGTTTCAGTCCTGGCGAGGACCCAGAGACCGATATACCAGACATATTCAGTGCATCCAATAATCATCCCTCGACTGAAGAGAAGGAGTACATCAGCCAAGGCGGCCCAGCAAATTGCGAGATGTCCACGTTCTCAATGGGCAAAAACAGCGGCAGTAAGAATGACAATCCCTCCTTGGAAGACTCCCCTGCCTACGCAAATATGAAGAGTGTGTCGCCCCTGAACTACCCACCGAACCCGATCTACGAGAGTGCCGATGGACCCAAAGAGACTCACTTTAAGAAAGCTGAAGATGTGTACATCAATATGAACTCAAACCTTGGAGCAAACGCTGCTTCATCCGAAAAGTATGATAGTGACCTGGAGGACAGTTTCTACGATCGAGTTGACGGTGGCAAGAAGTGGGACTCAAAGGAAAATTTGATTTCTGATAATGGAGATTCAGCTTTTTTTACAGACCCAGAGAGTTCAGCTGCAACTAAACTGTAACAAAAATAGGCAGCTCATATCAAAGACTCTCGAAAAGTGCGTACTGTATTAAGGGTGTGCCACGATATTATTGAGCAAACAACGCTCTATGCATGACCCAGAATTCGGCGCAAATTAGGTGATGGTGAATAATAATATGAAGAACACCAAGAAACATTATGACCTGCCTAATATGCAAATGAAACCGAACTCAACGACTATCAAGAAAACTTACTATAAGGAGTCATTTCAAAATTCGTCTGGGACAAGTTGCAGACAAGTTGAGGACAATGATGTGAGTATTTTACGCAACTTTTCTGCAACTTCTTTCAATGAAGCAATTACTTTGGGTACACACATCTCCAACTGTGTTCTTTGGTTTGGGCCAAGCGTGCCACTCAAGGGCACACTGCTGTGCGGTCACATGTCTACTACATGTATACGCTTCCTGCAAGTAATGTTGATATAACCCATGCATTTAGAAATATTCTGGATATATTTCTTATTGAATACAATTTCTCCTGTGAATTAAAGTTTAAGGAGTAAATGGCATTCACTTGCTAATGTCTTGTATGAATGTTCTTTTCTTTTGCCTTCCTTTTCTTAGTCATTAGCTTGATTGGTAGTTATAATTTAGAAATAGTGTAATAAAGACCTAGAAATGTGTTTGTTCATTAAACACAAGCCCACTCTTCAACTTGTGACTCTAAATCAGTAAACATTATTTCGAAGAAGATCACTATGTATAATATGCCAGTGGCGAGACCCTTCTTAATGTACATGGTAGCACGCCTCGGTCTAGTTCTACTCTTGCACGGTGACCTACCTCCCTCAACTGTCTGCCGAACGCTCTCTTCACAGAAGCCACAACACCTACTGTATTCCTTGCTATCCTTGTACATGTAGGCTACACGATGGTCTTGGCCTCGGTGCCCCTCTGTCTACTTTTGGGCGTAATCGTTATACCCACCCATACTGACCAGTCAGTTGATGTATGCCAGAGACTGAGAGCTGACATTTCATGCTTTTTCTTGGGCTAGCGCACCCAGGTCTGCCTTGGACGGTTTCGTGGTTTTGACCAATTGGAAAGGGGACCAGCCAGCTTAAGGGCGGTTGGCTACAAAGGTGTTCAATGAGGGAGTGGCGTCGCCTTGATATTATAGAGCGGATGTCATCCAGGTTTGTTTTATGTGAGATGGCCTCGTGTGTGAACAGGTCAAATCATGGGACTCCTCACCATTCTAATTTCCTCTCGCTCCTCTTTCTGCATAGTGACCCCTCTGTCTTCTGTCGGCCCACTCCTCCTTTACGTGAGGCGCCTCCAACTGCTGTCCGAAAAGCACTTCTCCAACACGGTGACGGGTGACCCCCTGTCTGCTGGGCTCTCTTACACGCTGGTCCACCTCCGTCTACTCTATCAACCGCCGTGGCGTAGCTAGGATTTTACTGGTGGGAGAACAAGGGTGAGGCTAAAAGCCAGGCGCTCCGTGCATGACGTCACTACGCGTGTGGCTCCGCTCAATTGCCCATGTACGAATACCCAATTGTAACTCATCGTGTACGCGTGACCTAGTCGTGAGCGTGTTGTTCCTTCCTCCATGTTTACAGAGTAGTCCGTAGTCGGTCCTCCATATCTGTGTTAAGTAAATGGGTTTTCATGCAGTGATGTTTTGCGTAGTGACGTCATGCACGGAGTGCCAGGCTTATAGCCTCACCCGGGGAACAAAGGGGCACCAGCATCTTAAGGGGGCGCCAGATTTCAGTTGTGTGTTTTTTGGGGAAAGTTTTTGTTAGCCTTGCCCAATATCCATTCCTCCTCCCTCCGTGGCTACGTCACTGACAAATCGTCTCTTTTTACACGGCGACTCTCTTGGTCTACTGTGAGCCTGAATCTCTACAGAGTTGTCTGCGTCCATCTACTGCCTTCCCTCTCCCCTATCTACACAGTGGCACCCCCATCTACTTGCGGGCCCGTATTCCTCCACGGTGACCCCCCCCACCGTCGACTGTCTTGCCTCTCCTCTTTCTCCAATTCACTTGTAATCCACGTTGGGCAAAGTATGCTTAGTAATTTCGGGAAAGGGCCAATTGAATGATGGCATAACAAACTTTTATAACGTTCAAAAGAAAACCACTTCTAGAAGTTCTGGCCATTATCTTGAATGCCTTGCCGACCTGACACCCCCCCAAAAAAAACCTCGAAGGGCTAACCTTTACTTGAAGAAGCGCCAGGCGGCGCTATTTCCGTCCTAAATTGTACGTATTTTGCACTTTTTTTGGTTTGTATTTTTTGCATGAGACAGTGACTGAAACCACCAATGCAAACACGCGGTTGCATGATGAGTGTATATTGATATGTCCCTCTCACTGAGTATCAGAGGTACTGTAATTTGCAAGTCGTCGTCAGGCACTCATTCTTCCTAGATTTTTCTCTAGGGAGCTTATATCTCGCCAATTCCGGAGAGACTCACCCTGTTTATTCGTTTGTTGTATTGTAATCTGACCACCCTTTGAAGGTACTGGAATAGTCTTCGATAGGTATTCAAAGTTCGCATAATGCCGCCCTATTCAAAGTTGAAGATAGGCTTTCCATGTGTACCCTCGTTCCAGCACTGGGTTGTCTCCTTTTTTGTGTTGCAATATGACCACATCATGCGTATACACGCCCGTATAGTTATAGTACTTACCATTGGATTTACTGTGTCCTCCATCCAAGGGAAACATGTCCTCCCGTCGTCTACGTTTTTTCACAGCTCCAGCTACGATCTCCCCTTATGAACCTCCATCGTCTGTGGATATTTTAGCTTTGGCTACAAGAAAGATTAGCGAAAGGGAAGGACCCAGCGGTAAGGGTGAAGGGTCGTCATGCCCGAAAACTAATGCAACCCCCATTCCAGGTCAGAAGTCGACCTCATTTAGCGACATATTCCAACCAGCACCACCTCATCAACAAGTCGCTATTGCTACTCAAGCTAAATCAGAACCTACAACATCTGCACCGCCTTGCGGCACCGCCAACTCCCAGGGCCTGTTCGGACCTGCAGCAAACCTGGCTGGTTATGCATCAGTCTGGTCCCAGCCACAAACATTTTTCAACCTGGCAATGCCTTGGAATTAGCCCCTAGGGTACTCCTCAGTTGCCCACGGCTATAAACCTGGGACCGGTACCGCCAAGCCTGTACAACCCATGGGGTTTTCCTCCCCAGTGGTTTCCAGCAATGATACCACCGGCAAATCTGCGATTGTCAAGTACTACCCAGACAACTTTACCCACCACAACTGATCTACCGGTGCAGTCATCATCCACCAGCACTGGCAGGGCTCGCACTGACTCCGCTGTTTCACTTGTCAGCGACAGCGAGGAGGACACCCCAGAAACGTCTAGTACTTGGCGTGCAGCAATTTCCCTTCCAGCTACGAAAGAGATGCAGCGCAATCCTCACAAAAACGACAAGGGTATAAACCCCATTTCTGAGGAGGTGATTGTCCTCTTTAGTGGTCCCGTTGAGCAGGAGAAATATTTTCTGACGGACTTAAAACTGCTCAAAGTTATGCTCTGAAAGCAGCCCTGCCACTTCTACGCTTATTTGAGGCAGTTGCCTACCCTGAAGGTCCCAGTGAGATTAACAAGGACATGGCGCAGGATTTAGTTTCTTCTGGCCTAATTCTTCTTGGCTCTGCTAGCCAGGGCCTCGCAGCCGCTCGTCAGCGTGCCTTCAATGACATCGTTGATAAAAAACTCACTCATGGGTCATTAATACTATTAGTGTTTGAAACTCTTGTCAGCGCCTCGTCAACGTAAAGTCCCTATTACGAAGGTCCAGTCGAGTCTTCATGAGACTATTTTCTATCTGGAGTTGCAGAAAACGTGGGAGAAAGGGGCTGTAACTGTTGCACAATCAATTGAAGGTCAGTTTATCAGCTTTGTTTTTGATAAAATTGGAACGATCTTCTGGCCATAGTCTTGAATTTCCAGTAAAGAACGCGGCGCTATTTCAATCTGATTTTGCACTGTTTTGTATGTGTGCGCGGGTTAGGGTTGGTTAGTAGGGGGTGTCCCGTTGGGTGACCCCAAATAACTTTTGACTCCCTTAATTTTTGACCTTGAAACTTTCAGCCAAGCTAGCGGAACTCTTCGTCTACCTTGTGTTTGAGTTTGAAGGTCATAAGTCAACGGGTCATGGAGTTGTGGCGTTTTCGCCGAGGGCACTCCTTTTTTTTGGTGACCCAAAAATAGGTGTTAAGAAAACGTTTAAAAATCAATGATTTTTTTCCCCAAGTATAAAGTTTGTACACAACCTACGGGGAAGACTTAAATCGGCTATAACTGTTGAATCGGGACCCCAATGGGAACCAAATTTATACGAATGGAGGAGTGTCTGCTTGTGATCGTTTACATAGACGTATGACGTCTCAGTTTATGTTTTTAGTTGTTATAAGGGATTTTCATGTGCCCAGTTTTCCGACATGTAAAAAATATAAGCCGTGTACAAAAGGCATAGGGATTTGCCCCAAGTATAATTCGGGAAAAGTCCCTTTTTGACCTATCAGAAAATGATCAGTAGCCTGTAGTACGTGTAAAAACGCATGTTCTGTCTAACCCTTTTGGGCTACATTACCTCTAAAGCCAGGGTTAAGGGGTAAGAGTGAAAGGGTTAAAAGTTAAAGGGGTTAGGGTTTTTCTGACAGTGTGCTGCACCTTTTCTACCATACGGAAAAGACCTGTCAATCATATTCTGCCCGACTCTGCTTGTTAGGAATCAAAGAAATACAAGATGTCAATGTGGAGAAATCAGAAGGGGTAAGAAGTATGATCCTGGGCGAAGGGTTAAATGTGACCCAATTTTTGGCTAGCCAGGCCCCAATACGTCGCCGAAGGGACTATCTCTATAGGGTTACTATGTACAACTAAGCCCCTGGTTAGGGTTAGGGTTAGGGTTAGGGGTTAGGGTTA